ATCTCTATAAAAAGGTAGTATCTTAAAGATCCTAATTCTTCCCAAATTGATCTATAGATCCAATACTTTTTCAATCAAAATCCCAGAAAGAATTTTTGTAGAACCAAGCAAGATAATTTACCTAAAATGAACAAGGAAAGGTCTAAGAATAGCAAGAAGAAGCAGAAAATAAGCAAGTCTCATTATAAAGCTCTGATCATGAAGACAGTGTGATATTGAAGGATAAATAAACAGGTAGACCTAATGTCCGGAAATAGAGTCCCACACAATACACAACTGGTTAAGACAGTGCTGGCATGGCAGATAGATGGGGAAAGAATGGACTTTTTAATAACTGTGGATGAAACAATTGGATGAAATAACTGGTGATTTAAAAAAATTAAAATAATTATTAAAAAATTTACCCTTATTTCTTTTTTAAAAATTGAGATGTAATTGACATATAACATTATATTAGTTTTAGGTGTGCAACACAATGATTTGATATATGTATATACTGCAAAATGATTACCACAATAAATTTCATTAACATCTATCACTTCATATAGTTACCATTTTTTCCTTGTGATGAGAACTTATATGATCTGATCTCTTAGCAGCTTTCAATTTTTTTTGTCTTATTGATTCTTACTGATCTCTATCTATATACATCTCTATCTATATATAATTTTTTTCCTATTTGCTAAATCTCTGCTCATCTTTATTTTTTCCTTCCATACTCTTTGGTTTCTTTTTTCCCCCAACTTTAATGCTTGACTCACTACTTTTAAAGCTTTTTTCTTTTCTAATGTAGGTATTTAAGGCTATAAATTGCCCTCTGTATACTTCTTTAGCTCATTCCTTGTATTTTGATATGCAATATTTTCATTGTTGTTTCTAAAACATTTGTAGTCCATAATATGATTTCTTTTTTGACCCATGCATTGAGATTTGGATATATTTGGAGTAACTTCTATTATTTTGTTATGTACTTTTTATTTTTCCAACTTTTGCAGTTTCTTTCTTTTTTTGTCTTTTCTTGACTCTATTTTGACTAAAGTCTTTTCCTAATTATATTTCTCCGTTTACTTAATATAAGCTATCTGTTCTCTTAGTGGTTACTTTAGTTATTTTAACAACCATACTTAATTTAAATTAGGTAAGATTGTATCTTTACTTTAACCCTAATCACCCTTTCCCTATTTACATGTGTTCGGTTATTTTAGTATTTTAATTTTTTGGCCATTATACCACCTCACATTTCTACTTGTTGTTTTTATAGTCAAGGTTTGTTTAGATTTAGATTTGCCCACATATTTATTAATATCTTTGCTCATTATTTCTTCTTGCATCTTAGATAATCCACCTGGAATCATTTTCCTTCTGCCTAAATGCGTCCTATAAGAGTTTCTTTAAGTGAGGGTCTGTTGGTGGTAAATCCTCTAAATGTTTTTTGTTTAAAAAAGACATTTTTCCAGACAAGTGTCTTTATTTCACTCATGTATGAAAAATAGTTTCACTAAGTCTAGAATTCTGAGTCGAGGGTTATTTTTTTTGTAAGCATGTTGAAATTATTTTACTTTCTTCTGACTTCTGCATTGCTATTGAGAAGCCAGTTGTCAATCTAATGCCATACTTTGCGGGGGAAACGTTTTCCTTTTCCCCTCCCTTCTACCCCTCCCTCCATGGGCTGCATTATAATCTTTCTCTAGGATGTGTCTAGATTTAGAGGTTTTTTTTTTTTTTTTTTTTGCCACATGGCAGTGAAAGCGCCAAGTCCTAACCACTGGACCACCAGGGAATTCCCTAGAGTTCTTCTTATTTATCCAGTTTAGGATTATTTTTGGGCTTCCTGAGTCTAAGGATTGGTATCTTCAGCAAGTCTAGAAGATTATTAGCCATATATGTTTGAGTATGGCTTTCCCCCCATTGTCTCTGTTAGCTTCTCCTATAAGATGTGTGTTAGACCTTCTCATTCTGTCTTCCTATAATAATATTTCTTCCATATTTTTCATCCTTTTTCCCCCCTCTCCAGATAATGTCTTTGGTTGAATCTCCCAGTTAGCTAAATTGTTTTCTTCTGATGTGGTCTAATTAGCTATTTAATCCACATTTTCATTGTTAGGAGGACTTTCTGGTTCTTTCCAAATTTGCTTAATTGTTCTTTCTAGTTTATTTCTTGTGTTTTCAAGCTTTTCTTTCATTTCTTTATGTATATTAAATATAGATATTTGATATTTTCTGCCTGATAATTCCAGTGTCTGATTCTGCTTTCCATTATTTCTGCTGGCTTTCACACATGGTATATTTTTATTTCCTTATTTATTTTGTGATTTTTGACTCTGAATTGCTCATTAAAAAAAATGCTATTTTCAGATACTCTTTGAGGCTGGAATTTGTTTCTGCTAGTTTCCTGGGAGATCTACAAAAGTTAGAACCCTTTTAACTTGATTTCCTTTGAAGATTTTCTGGACAACACATGTCGTGGGAATTTGGATCAAAAACTCTCATGAATTTTGGCTTGTAGTTATAAATTCTCAGAGAATGTTTTCTCTTTCACTGAGCACCAAAGTTGAATCAGGGAAGTTTTCTTCCATTCTGTTTTTCATGGCAAAGTTTTTTCTCATTTATATTTACATTGAGGGTAGAGCCCTCAGTGGGGTTCTGGTGTGTGTGTCTGTGTATATATGTGCATGTATGTGTGTATCTATGTATATGTGTGTATGCATGTGCATATGTATGTGTATATATATGTGTCTGTATGTGTATCTATACATCTATGTATATACGTGTATGTATGTGTTTATATGTGCACATGTATATGTATGTGTCTATATGTGCAAATGTATATCTCTGTGTGTGTATGTATGTGTGTGTATCTTTATGTGTGTGTGTTTTATAGAACTCCCTACCTTAAGGAGGCCCAGGCTTTATCCACTTGCCTCTTTTCTCTCTGTGGCATCAGAGTGGAAGATAAAGATTTCCTGGTTTTGTAAGAAACTCTCAACGTGGATGGTGGCCTTGTTGTGTGCTTATTCTTAGGATTCTTGATTTCACTTGGCTATACTTTTTTTTTTTTCCGGTACCAGCTTAGCAATGCATTTATACTTTTTTTCTTAATCTGGCTTAAAAATTTCTTTTTCGAGATGGTGTTTTAGGGCATCTAATCTGCCACACTAACATAACTGGAAGTTGAAAAACCATTTCATACTCATTATTTTCTATATCTATTTGTTAACATCAAGTAAAAAATATGAACAAACTGTTCTTCAGTCCTCTGAAATTCTGAAGAAGCTATATGGACTTAAGTTGAAGCAAAACACAATTTGTTCAATTATAAGAAAACTTATCTTGACTTGAAAGCTTCTAGAGTTGACAACTAGAGATCGTCAGATATTTATCTATGGAATTTTAAGAAACTGGCATAAATTTACTTTATTACCTTTTACCTACTTACTAGTGCTATACTATTAATGAATTCTATTATGTAATCTTTAACAACCACCTAGTAAGTATGTGCTCTGGGAATTAGTGAGAATTTCTGATACCAAAGAATCACTTACCATGCTATATTTCCCTCAGCTAAGATTTGAGGCAGTTTACAAAAACACCTTCAGTACGAAAGAAGAAAATTAATCACTGAGAGAATCAGGGATACAGGTAGGAAAATAAATCTTAGGCTAAGATGAACACACGAGAAGTACATAACATTTTCTTCCCAATATAGGTGGCCTGTCTTTGGTTTTAAGCTCTTAACACACATAAGAGGAGGGTAGGCAATAACATGACCTCGTTGGTTTCAGTGTCCTGTTCGGTTCAGGCCAGACTAACCCTGTACCTTCTGAGCCTTTTGGCAACACTGTTGAAATTGCATCACAGCCCCAATGACAAAGATTGGCAGTAAGAAAGTGGCCAGGGAGTATCTTTTATGTTTAATGATAAAAAGTGAAACTCTTCCGAGCTATTGACAATTACACTACTGGAGAGTTGGTTTAGGGCTGGACCCACCTGGTGAAGCACTGACCTGGATGTGGTCTGGCATGGGGGTGGAGTTTCACTGAGCTTCCGGTTTCTATCAGCTACCAGGTTTCAGATCGCTGTGCAGTTTTTCCCATTTTGGCAAAACAAGCGCCTTTCTAAACCCTCTGTAATCTTGTGGCTCCTGATATCAGAAGGGCCTGAGACAGGTCTGGGCCCTTAGAAGCTACTATAATAACAGCAGAGAAATCCTGTGTTGGTTTAATTGTTTTAGTCCTGTGTTGTTTGGACCCTGATTAGGGTCCAAATCCATAGGGTCAAATTATAAGGAAACCAGCTAAAGATGTGAAACTTTTAGAGAAGCCTTCCACTATGCATGTTTTTTTTTAAAAACATCTTTATTGGAGTATAATTGCTTTACAATGGTGTGTTAGTTTCTGCTGTATAACAAAGTGAATCAGCTATACATATACATATATCCCCATATCCCCTCCCTCTTGCGTCTCCCTCCCATCCTCCCTATCCCTCCCCTCTAGGTGGTCACAAAGCACCAAGCTGATCTCCCTGTGCTATGTGGCTGCTTCCCACTAGCTATCTATTTTACATTTGGTAGTGTATATATGTCCATGCCAGTCTCTCACTTCGTCCCAGCTTACCCTTCCCCCTCCCCGTGTCCTCAAGTCCATTCTCATCGTCTGCGTCTTTATTCCTGTCCTGCCCCTAGGTTCTTCCTCAGTATGTATGTTTGCGTGTTGTCAGCAATTCCTGAGCAGGAACAATTTGTGTGCGTGTGTGTGTGTGTGTGTGTGTGTGTGTGTTCTCACTGTACTGTAATAGGCACAATGAAGGTGTGTAAAAACAAATGTAAACTTCATGCTTCAATTTCCTAAATTTGGGCTTGATCACTTCGGCAAAGCAAATGGGGATAGCATTTTGTGTTAGCTCCTCACTTAATGACTAATAAATAAAAAATATTAACTTAGGTCAATATACTGGCTCACAAGTGTGCACTGGGTTTAATCATTCTTTTTCTTTGCTTCAAGGATTTTGACTCTTTCTTCTCTGCAAAAGAAGAGAATATTATTTATTCCTTCCTTGGCTTGGCTCCCCCTCCAGGCTCAAAGGTAAGCTTGAACACCCTCTTGGGATCCAATATAGGTCAATGACCCAATATAGTTCATAAGAAGTGAGGATAAAATCAGCACCAACACTGTTTAATAAGTGATGATCTTTAAATTAACATGATTTTAATACACTTCTTATTCTGATGAAGTCTTATGCATAGAGATAATGCATGGTTTCTACTAAAGCATGTTTCAAAACTATGCTTTTATTATTTTTGCTCTGTTTACACCTTGTTATAGTAAGCTTCACAATACCTAAGAAATATCATTGCATTCAATAATCTTAAATGCGTTAATTAAATATGTAAAAGTATAAATTCTCAGGTTGTGTCTATGAAATTATTTTGTTATGAATTTCTCATGACAGCTTATGTTAGTTAATTTTATAATGATATGTACTCCTATATTAATTATTTCTATTGAAAATGAATTTTGCTTTTTTTGTCTGATGAGGAGGGAAAAAGTAAGATCTAGACTCAAGAATAGATAAATTTCATCAGATTTCTTTTCCCCTCTGGGGTTGTTTCATCTTTGATTATGTACAATTATATCAATTAAATAAAGAATTATGCTAATAAAGCAAATACCATGAATTTGAATGTCTGGTGGAGATCATCTGTTTATTTTTGTTTTTTTTTTTTGCGGTACGCGGGCCTCTCACTGTTGTGGCCTCTCCCATTGCAGAGCACAGGCTCCGGATGCGCAGGCTCAGCGGCCATGGCTCACGGGCCCAGCCGCTCCGCGGCATGTGGGATCTTCCTGGACTGGGGCATGAATCCGTGTCCCCTGTATCAGCAGGCGGACTCTCTACCACTGCACCACCAGGGAAGCCCCAGAGATCACCTGGTTTTATTCCTTACCTTCACTGCATTCCTCACCTCTACCAAGCATCTCATACATGACTCTCCGTAGATACAAGACAAGCACACATTTGTCTAATTCATTTATTTCTTAACTAATCTGTTTGTGCCCAGCTTCATTTCAAAAGAGATTTGTGATGACTGAGTCCCAATTAATTCTCACCATAGGAGACACAACTAAAAATCCTACCTTATAGAGATGGGTGTGTCTCAGAGGCACGTGGATGTGCTGTCTTCCATGTGTCCACATTCTTTAGGTAATGACACCTGTGGTCTCTTAGTGCTTAGGTTAACACATGCAGGTGTAACACGAATTCCTTCTCCAAATGGTAACATGTAGATTTTACAGTTAGTTAATGTTCTATAAGGGGATAATAGTTCTATACAGGGAAATAAAGGTATTTCCCTTTTAATGAAATACCTTTCTGGCTTTGGTCAACTTAAATGCAACATATCTCATACACGTTATTAACCGTTTAAAAAAGTGCTAAAAGCTATTATATGCAATTTGATATTTTTTATTTGGTATAGGAGTTTGTTAACTGGGTCACGTTAGTTTAGCTATTATGTTTAAGAGATGGTACCTTAGTGTTAAGGTATATTTCTTGGTGGGGACACTCAGGTCACTTGGGTCTTGAAGAAGGACAGGAAGGGTGGAGGGAAGAGTGTTCCAGGCAAAGGTAAGAGCAAATGCAAAGGCCCTGAGGCAGGAAAGGGCTTGGAGACTCCTAAGACCTACCATGGCTACCCTGAGTCCTGAGTTGCCGAAGTGAAGAGGGAAGGGGCACCATGGGAGGTGGGAGCAGCAGGTGGGCAGCCCATGGGCCACAGCAGTGCTCTGGAGTCTATCTTAGGGGCCGTTAAGACATTGTAAGGGTTTTAAGCAGAGGAGTAATTTTATTTCCTTGTTTAGAACTCTTTTTGGCTACAATGGGATGAATGGATTGAAGTGGTACAAATTACTGTAGTAAAACGGATGAGATGTCATGGTGGCGTGGACTAGGGTGGTGGGGATAGAACAGTACAGAAGTGGATGATTTTAGTATCTGTTTTGGAGGAAGAATTGGTAAGAATTGCTGATGGATTGAATCAGCAATGAGAGGGTTTAACCTCCTTGATTTTAGGGCCATCAGATTCTGTTTTACAATTTGGTTTCTGGTTCTGTTGTGCTCTGAAGAGGGACTGTACCGTGATGAGTTTTTATCTTAAGTGCATCTTTGTACCCCAATGCGTATCTTCATTTCTCTTGAAAAGACTGTTTTTTGAATATTAAAATTTAATTTTTATCCAATTAATATGTGTATAATTTTGAAAAGGTCAAGGGTTATTACAGAAAATGGTAGGTCCTGCCTTCACCCCTCATGGATGACTTTTCTGTGTGCTAAGGTGCAGAGCTCCAGGCCAGACATCACTTCTGCTCAGGACTGGAAAGCTGCGGGTCCATATTCTTAGTAGTTTCCAGGGCTGTTGTTGAGAAACCTGGTGCCAGTCTGTCTACTGACCCTGTATTTGTGTCTGTTTTTGTTTTTCTCATTCCTGGGAGACTTTAGGTTCCTCTCTTTTGCTTTGAAGTTGTATGATGAGGTGCTTGGAATGGTCTTTTCTTCCTTGTTTGTGCTGGGCACTTGCTGGGCCTTTTTTCAATCTGGAAGTCATGTCCTTCAGTTCTGGAAGATGTTGGAGGTACTACTTCTGTGGTCATTCTTTTCCCATTAGTTTCCATTTTCTTTTCTTTGCTCTTTTTGAAATTCCTCTTATTTGACTGCTGGGCCTCCTGGACTAATCATACAGTATTTTGTTCTTTGCTTCTGGTTCTTTCACTGAGCATAATGCTGTCAAGCTTCATCTATGTAGTAGTATGTGTCAGTACTTCTTTTCTTTTTATGGCAGAATGATATTCCATTATATGAATAGACCATATTTTATTTATTGATTCATCAGTTGATGGACATTTGGGTTGTTTCCACTTTGGGACTATTATGAATAATGCTGTTATGACCATTTGTATCTTTTGTTTAATTTTATCTTAAATATTAGTATTGTATTATAGGTTGCTCTGCAAAAGAATCACTTGGACAGTTTTTAAAAAATTAAGATGCTTGAGTTCTGCTTCAGACCTACTGACCCTGAATTATAAGGGGAGAGGGTCAGGGACCTTTTTTTTTTTTTTTTTTTTTTGCGGTACGCGAGCCTCTCACTGTTGTGGCCTCTCCCGTTGCGGAGCACAGGCTCCGGACGCGCAGGCTCAGCAGCCATGGCTCACAGGCCCAGCCGCTCCGCAGCATGTGGGATCTTCCTGGACCGGGGCACGAATCTGTGTCCCCTGCATCGGCAGGCGGACTCTCAACCACTGCGCCACCAGGGAAGCCCGACCTTCATTTTTAAAAAAGCTCTTTGGTTGATTCTGATGCACACTCCTGTTTAACAACCACTAAGTTAAGGACTCATTTAGCAAATATTCATAGATACACCTCGCCAAAGTGAAGGTGATATCATATTTGCTTTAGTTAAAGAACTCACACATTACAGAGAAACAATGAGTTCACTTTGTTTTTCTCCCCATCCTTGTTTCCCTCTCTCCTTAGGGGCCACTAACATCATGGGTATTTTAAGACTATATATAAAACTATGTATTCATCTCCACAAGCAGTACATATGTTGTTTTGTATTTTTAATGCTTAATTGGAATCATATTTTTTTGGAATTTTCTGCAAATTGCTTTTTTCATTACATTTTGAGGCACAGCCACCCTAATATATGTAATTCTATCTCACCCTCTGCTCTGCATCATCTTGTCCCATTAAAAATATTACCTAATCTCAGATTTTAGATCTCACCCTGGTTTGTGTTTAGGTTTTGTCCTATTGCGTGAAATTCTTTTTGGCTAAGTAGAAGAAAGGGATGGCCATGGAATTATAGAGCTCAGCCTAGAGGGACTTAACATCCAGTTCAGAGCCTTCTCTTCACAAAGGAGGAACTCGAAGCCCAAGAAGTTTAGGTGATTTGCACAAAGATACTCCACTAATTAGCAGCACAGTCCATGCTAGAACCTTTGGTGCTGTCGGCATTGCTCGGGTTTATAGGTGTTGGTGTGTACTTGGGGCAAAGTCCTTCAAGTATCCTTTGGGAAGACAGACACTTGATGATTTATGGAAGCGATATTATTTGTCACAGTGTCTTTTTGTAGCAAACAACATGGTGGAGAGAAGTGTCAGCAAGGAAATCAATCTTGTTCAAGCTAAAAATAGATACTCTTGACTATTATGGAGAAAATGTATGCTTATAAAATGATATTAAGCAGTATAAGCAGCATTATTGCTTGTGGAACAGTTTTCTTAGGCAGAGGCTGTACCAGGCCAAGTACCAGGCCAGTTCTCCCAAGAGAGCTTTGTAAGTAAGCATTGCCTCCATAAAATCAACCTCAGTTCTTCACAAGCATCTGGTCATATCTGATTCAACGAGCATCATTATTTTATTTTATTTTTCTTATTGAAGTATAGTTGATTTACAGTGTGGTGCCAATCTCTGCTGTACAGCAAAGTGACTCAGTTATACACATATAGACATTCTTTTTTTATATTCTTTTCCATTACGGTTTATCCCCAGATATTGGATATAGTTCCTTGTGCTATCCATTCTATATGTAATAGTTTGCATCTGCTAATCGGAAACTCTCAGGGAAAGAAAAGACAAAAGAGCAAAGGACATAAAATTGTGAAAGGATAGACTCTTCATTAAATGTTATTGGGACAATTGGACAGTAAGATGTAAAAAAATTGAAATCAGACCACCATCTCACACCATACACCAAAATTAACTTAAAATGAATTAGAGACTTGAAAGTAAGACCTGAAACTGTGAAACTTCTAGAAGAAAACATAGGTAGTACACTGTTTGACATTGGTCTAGCAGTATTTTTTTGGATCTTTCTCCTCAGGCAAGGGAAACAAAAGCAAAAATAAAAAAACTGAATGACATCAAACTAAAAAGCTTTTGCACAACAAAGGAAGAGATCAACAAAACAAAAAGTCTACTTCTTCTCCCACCTACTGAATGGGAGAAGATATTTGCAAACAATGTATCTGACAAGGGATTAATATCCAAAATATACAAAGAACTCATATAATTTGACATCAGAAA